TTAAACAGAGTTTTTCCCTCTGTTGCCCAGGCTGGAGTGCAGTGGCATAATCTCAGCTCACTGCAGCCTCCACCTCCCAGACTCAAGCAATTCTCCTGCCTCGGCCTCCTGAGTAGCTGGGACTACAGGCGTGTGCACCACCTCACCTAGCTAATTTTTGTATTTTTTGTGGAGATGGGGTTTTCCCTGTTGGACTCCTAGACTCAAGTGATCTGCCCGCCTCAGCCTCTGCCCTTAGGGGATTTTGTTGTTGTAGTTTTGCTTTTTTAAACGGAGTCTTGCTCTGTCACCAGGCTGGAGTGCAGTGGTGCAATCTCAGCTCACTGCAGCATCTGCCTCCTGGATTCAAGCAATTCCCCTGCCTCAGCCTTCCAAGCAGCTGGGGCTACAGGCGTGAGCCACCACACCCAGCCTAATTTTTGTATTTTTAATAGAGACAGGGTTTCACCATGTTGGTCAGGCTGGTCTTGAACTGCTGACCTCAGGTGATCTGCCCGCCTCGGCCTCCCAAAGTGCTGGGATTACAGGCGTGAGCCACTGCACCTGGCCCACTCTTAGGTTTTTTTAACCAAAGGTTATATTATCAAAAATTAAAAGATCTGTCTAGGGTAATCTTAAAGACTATAATTGTTTCAACCAGAGCAATTTTGCCGCCTCCTTCCCCTAGATGTTTTGGTTGTCATACCTGGGGTGCTGTTGGCAAGGAGTGGGTGGGGGCTGGGGGTGCCACATGGCACGCTGCAGTGCCCAAGACACACCTGCCAGTGAGCAGTCAGGCCCGGAACATGGACACCTCCGAGGTGGAAATCCTGCTGTGCTGCAGAGGGCCTCAGCGAGACCCTGCTAGCTGGAATGCTGCTTTATCCGATAAGGAACCATGGTCCTGCCTTGCTGAGTCCTGACAGAGACGCCAGCCCTTAGCTCTTGGGGGCCCTGGTGTGGGGCGGTGGCAGTGCCATGACTTGCACCCTCTCAGTTCTAGGCACAGGGGCAGAGGTGGATTACCTGGAGCAGTTTGGAGCTTCCTCGGTAGGTACTGGGCACCTCTGCGAAACCTCCCCTGCAGGGTGTACTGAGGGCAGCCCCGACAGCTCTTCACCCCGGAACATCCCTTGGTGCCCGTGTCCCCCCGGCTGTTGGGGGGACACGGGCCCTGACCCTTCTCCTGCTGCATCTCTAAGTGGTGTCCTATGGTCGTGGCCAGGCCCTCACCTGGTGCTTGCCTGGGATGAACTCTGACACCATGCTGCTGGGAATGCAGGGCCTCGGGCGGGGTCGCGGTGACCAGAGGTGGGAGTGTGTGTGACCTCCCTGGCCCTAGCCCTGACGTGTGTGCTAGAGGACGGCAGTCAGACCTGCTCAGTTGCCCTCTTGTCCCCAGTTTAAGGAGTCAGCCTTGAGGAAGCAGTCCTTATACCTCAAGTTCGACCCTCTCCTGAAGGACAGTCCTCAAAGACCAGGGCCCGTGGCCACAGAGACCAGCAGGTACGCAAGCCAGCCCTCCCCAGGCATGAAGCCTTGGGTGTAGGGGATGGGAGGCTGTTCCTCGGTATGCTGTCTGCAGAGGCTTCTAGACCGAGGGAGATGACCTGAACTAGAAAAGAGGCGTGCTGCGGAGTAGGCAGGGCGGCAAGCACAAAGCAGCAGCCTTGTGTGGCAGGGTCACATCAGCCCAGGGGGAGTGACAGCAGCCGACCCTCCAGTCACAGATGCTGCCTTGCTGGTTACAGCCATGTGCTAGGTGGATTAAAGAGCTAAACTTAAATTTTTTTAAAGTAGTTCCTCTAAAACAGGTCAGCAAACTATGACCTGTAGGCCAGACTTGGCCACTACCTGTTTGTGTAAATAAAGTTATTGGCACAGAACCATGCCCATTCCTTTGAAAATTGTGGCAACTTTCACACTACAAGGGCAGAACCAAGTAGTATGACAGAGGCCTAATACATGGCCTGGCGCAGTGGCTCACACCTGTAATCCCAGCACTTCTGGAGGCCGAAGCGGGCAGATCACAAGGTCAGGATTTCAAGACCAGCCCGGCCAACATGGTGAAACCCCATCTCTACTAAAAATACAAAAATTAGCTGAGCATGGTGATGGGCGCCTGTAGTCCCAGCTACTCAGGAGGCTGAGGCAGGAGAATTGCTTTAGCCTGGGGGCAGATGTTGCAGTGAGCCGAGATCACGCCATTGCTCTCCTGTCTGGGCGGCAGAGTGAGACCCTGTCTCAAACAAAAAGAAAGTGAGCCTGCAAGCTGTGAGGGCCCCCAGATGAGGCATCAGCAGCTCCGCTCAGCCTGCAGTGGGTAAGGAGGCATCGCAGCTCTCCAGAAGGATGATCCGCCTCGTGGGATGAGGACGTGAGGGAAGGGGGCTGGGGGCAGCAGAGAGGCAGGGCCTGCTGGATGTGGGCCTGCGTTTTCTACCACCATCCTGACTTGAGCAGTTTTAAACTAAAAAGCAAAGAGCCTGGTTAGCTTGTCCGCGTGGTCCTCTGTGTCCTACTCAACGCTGGGAGGGCCTGAGTGACCGAGGCTGCCTCTGCTTGGCGACAGCACACACGGTGTGGAGGAGCCTCCCTCAGGAAGTCCGCGGGAAGCCACGCTTGTGGAGTTGGATTTCTTGGGAGCACTGGATGCTCCGGTAAGTACTTCAGTCCCTCTTGAACCATCTTGTGGTCTGAGGAGGCAGATTGTTTTAAGGGCCTATATTTTTTTTCCTGGGGGTCTGGAGCCTGTGGCTCCGTCACTGGTCCATCACCGCACTGTCTGAGGCTCTTGGGCTTCGTGGGCCTTCCCTCCCTCGCGCCAGGTCAGAGGTATGAGAGGCGAGGGTGAAATGGGCTCATGGTTCATCCCCATCTCCCACAGGTGCCAGACCCACCCCCAGGTGTCACTGCGCCTGGCGGCCCACCCCTGTCCACTGGGCCTATAGTGGACCTGCTGCAGTACAGCCAGAAGGACCTGGACGCCGCGGTAAGGACACAGGTGGTGGCTGCTCCACAGAACCTGCAGGCCGCTCGGGCTTGGCCAACAGCAGGCACAGGTGGGGTCCAGTGGCCTGACCAGCTGTCCCTGCCATCCCCGCCCCTGCTGGTCGGGGTGGCATTGTGGAGAGCTGCTGGCCCCTGGCCTGTCACTGCTGCCCAGGTTGCTGAGGCTCCAAGCTTCCACCCAGTGTCCCCACAGCCAACTGCCCACTGGCTGCCTCCCCAGGGCTCTCCAGCCTGAGCGTGGCATTCACCTCTGGCAACCTCGCAGCAGTGAGTGTGGCTCTCACTGCTGTAAACCTGAGTGTTGCCCCTTCCTGCTGCCCTTCCACAAGTCCAGACACATCTCTGGGCAGCTTAGGAAGCTCCATCTCCACCTGCCCACATCTGAGGTTCCCTGCCCGTCTCCCTCCATCCTCCCACACATGCCAGGCTTCAGCCTGTCCTAACTCCAGGTCTAAGTTGTCCCCACGAGAGCTGTGGGCACCACTGTGAGCCAGATAGTCCCTGGGGAGGGTGGGACAGGGTGGCTCCGGACACCGGCTGCAGGGCTGGACACAAGCCCCCACATCTGAACCAGTGTCGGTCATAGCAACCTCAGGTGTCATTTCAGGGGCCTGTGATACAGTACTGACCTGGTTCCCCAACACCCCCTTCCTGGTGTCTGAGCCCATGCCATAACCCCAGAGCAGGCTTGAGGACCACAGTGTGGCCAGCCCTCCCCTCTGCAGGCCTGGGCTCCCCATGCAGGTAGCCCCTGCATGTAACTTGGACCCCTGGTACCCACCCCTGGGGGGTGGACGCAGGGACACACACCTGTTGGGCACCTGCTGGTTCCACCCAGGAGCACAGCCAGCAGCCCCATGCCTCCTGCCCCCTGGCAACCGGGCAATTGTGGAACAGGCAGCCTTGGCCTCAGTGGGGCTCCCAGGGTCCTGCTGGAAGGCCCACATGGAATTGTGGCTCTGGACATGGCTCCAGGGACCTCGGGGTGGGCTGGCCCCATTCTGTGGGGAGGTCCTAGGAGGGGTTGTCCAGCCCGCCTGCCTGCTGACTCAGGTGTGGCCTGAGCAGGTAAAGGCGACGCAGGAGGAGAACCAGGAGCTGAGGAGCAGGTGTGAGGAGCTCCACAGGAAGAACCTGGAGCTGGGGTAAGGAGGCCCTGCCTGCCCTGTCCCCACCCAGGCTGGGGTTTTGGGGGATCTGAGGCCATGGATGTGTCTGCTCTCCTCCCACAGGATGATCATGGACAGGTTCGAGGAGGCCACATACCAGGTCATGGGTAAGTGCCGGGCTGCCGAGGACATGAGGGGCTGCCTGCACCTCAGCCTGGCCCCACCCCGCACGCTGCCTAAGGCCCCACTCTCCTGAGGCCACTCTTCCTCACCCACGAGGCCCCTCAACATGGCCCAGCCATGGAACCACTGAGGCGAGCTGGGGGGAAGCTGGCAGTCAGTGCAGCTGGCGGATCCACAGAGCCAGCCCACCTCAGGCCCCGGAGCTGTGCAGATGCTGAGCTAGCGGCAGGGCTGGGGTGGGGGAAGATGCCATCACACCGAGGCCTTCCCCAAGCCACGCCAACCTCTCCATGCCACCCCATACCGGCTCACACCCGCTGTCCTCCTCTCTTCCTGGAGGCTCACACTCACCTCCCTCCTCCTCTCCTGGAGGCTCACACCACCTCCCTCCTCCTCTCCTGGAGGCTCACACCACCTCCCTCCTCTCCTGGAGGCTCACACCACCTCCCTCCTCCTCTCCTCCTGGAGGCTCACACCCACCTCCCTCCTCCTCTCCT